TTGGACATTGGAGTGTATTGGGTGCGTTCGTTGCTAAAACTCACTTCGCGACTCGCGCGGCGAACTTTTGTCAATTAATGCCGATATTGCCACTCGTGGGTGCGTTGTTTTTAACCGGAACTAAGAAGTTCAAAAAGCACCAAAACTTGATTTTTGGACATATTGGATTGCATTGGGTGCGTTCGTGGCAAAAACTCACTTCGCGACTCGCGCGGCGAACTTTTGTCAATTAATGCCGATATTGCCACTCGTGGGTGCGTTGTTTTTAACCGAACGAAAAAGTGCAAAAAGCACCTAAACATGATTTTTGGACATATTGTACTGTATTGGGTGCGTTCGTGGCAAAAACTCACTTCGCGACTCGCGCGGCGAACTTTTGTCAATTAATGCCGATATTGCCACTCGTGGGTGCGATGTAATATACAGGAATCAAAATGTTCAAAAAGCACCTAAACATGATTTTTGGACATTGGAGTGTATTGGGTGCGTTCGTGGCAAAAACTCACTTCGCGACTCGCGCGGCGTCCTTTTGTCAATTAATGCCGATATTGCCACTCGTGGGTGCGTTGTTTTTAACCAAATGAAAAAGTGCAAAAAGCACCTAAACATGATTTTTGGACATATTGGAGTGTATTGGGTGCGTTCGTTGCTAAAACTTACTTCGCGACTCGCGCGGCGAACTTTTGTCAATTAATGCCGATATTGCCACTCGTGGGTGCGTTGTTTTTAACCGGAACGAAAAAGTTCAAAAAGCACCAAAACATGGTTTTTGGACATATTGGAGTGTATTGGGTGCGTTCGTGGCAAAAACTCACTTCGCGACTCGCGCGGCGAACTTTTGTCAATTAATGCCGATATTGCCACTCGTGGGTGCGATGTAATATACAGGAATCAAAATGTTCAAAAAGCACCTAAACATGATCTTTGGACATTGGAGTGTATTGGGTGCGTTCGTTGCTAAAACTCACTTCGCGACTCGCGCGGCGAACTTTTGTCAATTAATGCCGATATTGCCACTCGTGGGTGCGTTGTTTTTAACCGGAACGAAAAAGTTCAAAAAGCACCAAAACATGATTTTTGGACATATTGGATTGCATTGGGTGCGTTCGTGGCAAAAACTCACTTCGCGACTCGCGCGGCGAACTTTTGTCAATTAATGTCGATATTGCCACACGTGGGTGCGATGTAATATACCGGAATCAAAAAGTTCAAAATGCACCTAAACATGATTTTTGGACATATTGGAGTGTATTGGGTGCGTTCGTGGCAAAAACTCACCTCGCGACTCGCGCGGCGAACTTTTGTCAATTAATGCCGATATTGCCACACGTGGGTGCGATGTAATATACCGGAATCAAAAAGTTCAAAAAGCACCTAAACATGATTTTTGGACATATTGGAGTGTATTGGGTGGGTTCGTGGCAAAAACTCACTTCGCGACTCATGCGGCGAACTTTTGTCAATTAATGCCGATATTGCCACACGTGGGTGCGATGTAATATACCGGAATCAAAAAGTTCAAAAAGCACCTAAACATGATTTTTGGACATATTGGAGTGTATTGGGTGCGTTCGTGGCAAAAACTCACTTCGCGACTCGCGCGGAGACCTTTTGTCAATTAATGCCGATATTGCCACTCGTGGGTGCGTTGTTTTTAACCGGAATGAAAAAGTTCAAAAAGCACCTAAACATGATTTTTGGACATATTGGAGTGTATTGGGTGCGTTCGTGGCAAAAACTCACTTCGCGACTCGCGCGGCGACCTTTTGTCAATTAATGCCGGTATTGCCACTCGTGGGTGCGTTGTTTTTAACCGGAACGAAAAGGTTCAAAAAGCACCTAAACATTATTTTTGGACATATTGGAGTGTATTGGGTGCGTTCGTTGCTAAAACTTACTTCGCGACTCGCGCGGCGAACTTTTGTCAATTAATGCCGATATTGCCACACGTGGGTGCGATGTAATATACCGGAATTAAAAAGTTCAAAATGCACCTAAACATGATTTTTGGACATATTGGAGTGTATTGGGTGCGTTCGTGGCAAAAACTCACCTCGCGACTCGCGCGGCGAACTTTTGTCAATTAATGCCGATATTGCCACACGTGGGTGCGATGTAATATACCGGAATCAAAAAGTTCAAAATGCACCTAAACATGATTTTTGGACATATTGGAGTGTATTGGGTGCGTTCGTGGCAAAAACTCACTTCGCGAGTCGCGCGGCGACCTTTTGTCAATTAATGCCGGTATTGCCACTCGTGGGTGCGTTGTTTTTAACCGGAACGAAAAAGTTCAAAAAGCACCTAAACATGATTTTTGGACATATTGGAGTGTATTGTGTGCCGTTCGTGGCAAAAACTCACTTCGCGACTCGCGCGGCGTCCTTTTGTCAATTAATGCCGATATAGCCATACGTGGGTGCGTAGTTTTTAACCGGAACGAAAAAGTTAAAAAGCACCTAAACATGGTTTTTGGACATATTGGAGTGTATTGGGTGCGTTCGTGGCAAAAAACTCACTTCGCGACTCGCGCGACGTCCTTTTGTCAATTAATGCCGATATTGCCACTCGTGGGTGCGATGTAATATACAGGAATCAAAATGCTCAAAAAGCACCTAAACATGATCTTTGGATATTGGAGTGTATTGGGTGCGTTCGTGGCAAAAACTCACTTCGCGACTCGCGCGGCGTCCTTTTGTCAATTAATGCTGATATTGCCATACGTGGGTGCGTAGTTTTTAACCGGAACGAAAAAGTTAAAAAGCACCTAAACATGGTTTTTGGACATATTGGAGTGTATTGGGTGCGTTCGTGGCAAAAACTCACTTCGCGACTCGCGCGACGTCCTTTTGTCAATTAATGCCGATATTGCCACTCGTGGGTGCGTTGTTTTTAACCAAATGAAAAAGTGCAAAAAGCACCTAAACATGATTTTTGGACATATTGTACTGTATTGGGTGCGTTCGTGGCAAAAACTCACTTCGCGACTCGCACGGCGTCCTTTTGTCAATTAATGCTGATATTGCCATACGTGGGTGCGTAGTTTTTAACCGGAACGAAAAAGTTAAAAAGCACCTAAACATGGTTTTTGGACATATTGGAGTGTATTGGGTGCGTTCGTGGCAAAAAACTCACTTCGCGACTCGCGCGGCGAACTTTTGTCAATTAATGCCGATATTGCCACTCGTGGGTGCGATGTAATATACAGGAATCAAAATGCTCAAAAAGCACCTAAACATGATCTTTGGATATTGGAGTGTATTGGGTGCGTTCGTGGCAAAAACTCACTTCGCGACTCGCGCGGCGTCCTTTTGTCAATTAATGCTGATATTGCCATACGTGGGTGCGTAGTTTTTAACCGGAACGAAAAAGTTCAAAAAGCACCTAAACATGGTTTTTGGACATATTGGAGTGTATTGGGTGCGTTCGTGGCAAAAACTCACTTCGCGACTCGCGCGGCGAACTTTTGTCAATTAATGCCGATATTGCCACTCGTGGGTGCGTTGTTTTTAACCGGAACGAAAAAGTTCCAAAAGCACCAAAACATGATTTTTGGACATATTGGATTGCATTGGGTGCGTTCGTGGCAAAAACTCACTTCGCGACTCGCGCGGCGAACTTTTGCCAATTAATGTCGATATTGCCACACGTGGGTGCGATGTAATATACCGGAATCAAAAAGTTCAAAAGGCACCTAAACATGATTTTTGGACATATTGGAGTGTATTGGGTGCGTTCGTTGCTAAAACTTACTTCGCGACTCGCGCGGCGAACTTTTGTCAATTAATGCCGATATTGCCACTCGTGGGTGCGTTGTTTTTAACCGGAACGAAAAAGTTCAAAAAGCACCAAAACATGGTTTTTGGACATATTGGAGTGTATTGGGTGCGTTCGTGGCAAAAACTCACTTCGCGACTCGCGCGGCGAACTTTTGTCAATTAATGCCGATATTGCCACTCGTGGGTGCGATGTAATATACAGGAATCAAAATGTTCAAAAA